CCAATTTTTACATTTTTTTTTTAATCTTATAAGGCCTTTTTCCCCGCAAAAATTTATCGTTTTTAGAAAAAAAAACTATTCACGTTTCAGAGCATATGGTAATATATATACAAATATCTAAATAGTTTCATATTTCAATAATTTTAAAACTTTGACCCACCTTGCATTTATGCATAAATGAACAATTTTACCTTTTCGAAAACTGCAATCCTGTCTAGGTAAAAAAAAAAAAATTATTATTTTTTTGAAAGTTCATTTTTACATATGTTTAGTTTATTAGTTTATTTCGCCGTTAAAAATATTCACAAAGTACAACAATATAAAAAGTACAACTGGCTGGAGTAAGAAGAAGGCATAAAATAGCTTTATCACCGAGCCCCAATAGTAACGCAAATAAATATCCGTAATATATAATAATCTGTAATATATAAGCAAAAGCATTTAAAAAAAGACAATTTTAAAATGTGAAGAAATAAAATTAAAAAGAAAAAAAAATGATTAAAATATAGTAATAAAAATGACAAAAATTTTCTGTTTTTGGTTATAAACTGGATGTAGTTCGATATATATATATATATATATATATATATATATATATATATATATATATATATATATATATATATATATATATATATATATATATATATATATATATATATATATATTGTATATATTATTATCTTTCAAAATAATTCAAAATTCAAATAAAAATTCTGTTCCAATATTATAAGATATATCAAGATAACTGTAGGTAACTTTAAGAGAATATATATTTTCAATGAAAGTATGGTAAAGACATTTTAATTCTTAATATTGTTAAATGGTCTGGATTTTTAAATTTATGGTGCTAATTTAGTTTAATAAATTTTAAAATTTTAAAAGTGAAAGAGAAGATCTGCTATATTAAAATCCGTAAGTACTAAATAATGTCTTAATAACGATTTGAATTGCGGAAATGTTTTTTCTTTAATATTAACAATATGCTGAAAGTTTTTCCACAAAATTGGACCCCGGTACTGAATAGAATAAGAACATAACTTTAGATTATACTTTTGAGTTACAAAGTTATTTTCTGAGAACTTGGTGGGGTATTTATGGCTTACTTCTCTAAAATGAGGATAGAATATCGCTGGAGACAGTCCATGTTTTATATTATACATTAACTGTATGACGAGGAATATGTTAATTTTAAATACATTTAATGCATTGAGTTTACGTAGAAGTGGCTCACAAGACACAGTTCTTTTTACTCCAAATGCAATTCTACATGCATGTTTTTGTTTATTATAAATTTTCTTTAGCGTAGCTGTTGCTGTATAGTAGCACCATTAAAATCATCTGTCGAATTCAAAACCAAAAATTTGAAAAGTATGATGTACCCTACTGTACATGTACCGATAAAATAATTATAACAAAAAATGTTGGTATTACATAGTAGAATACTCATTTAACCGTTATTTTAAAAATAGTGACCGAATTTTGAAATAATCAGTAACGCTTTGAGGTATAAGTAGCAAAAATCTGACAAAATTTCAACAAAAACTGCAAATAATTTGTAAATCCAGACATCCAATCAGAAATTTTTTCTAGAGTTTGGTGTGACTATTGGCTACATTTGCACCAATTTTCATCAAATTATATTCAGTGGTTCAAATTCTACAAGTGTTTTTATTGGCGCACTATGAAGTCAAAATTTGACTTAATTTGAACATTCATATTAAATTATTTTCCGCGGACAAAATTAAATGATTTCAAAATTTGCATCACAGGGTACCTTGATGTGTAAGCTAACTTTCCGTATACGTGGCGTTCTTGGGGAAGCTAGGTAGGCATTATAAGGATCCGTGCTAACCGTGTACCAAAGGACGTTAATAACACAAAATTGAAATCAAAATATTGCATATAAGCAAGCATTGCAAAAACCATTATGTACTTCTATAGAAAGAATTAAAAAAAAGAAAAAAATAATGTAATTAACATCTTAATTTTCGAAAAAATTGAAAAGGTTTTTTTATTATTTGAAGATTTTGTATAAAGTAATGATATAAATTTAGTATAAAGTAGTGATATCAATATATACCACGGAAATATCTTTTGCGATTATATTTTTAATAGATCTAACATAAAATTTTCTTGAAACATTTTCATTTAAAATCACCCCAAAGAAACTAACGGTTGGTTTTCTTTTAATAACTGTTTTATTCTTAAAAATATTGAATAGTTTTAAAGAATCACTATTATTAGATTTGTGAATTTTTCTATTTCTAAATTTAATGGCTACTTGTTTGTAAACCAGCAATTTATTTTCAACATTTTTTGTTTACTTATATTTAACAAAAAATTACTTATATTACAAAAATAATTATAGTCAACACCAAACAATGCAGGGATAACCCAGTGGGCATGCATTGTCTGGGGGACGTTTGTCGGACGTCTTACGGACGTCTGGACGTCCAAGAGAGTTCTTTCGGACGACCTCCGGACGATGAGTGCCCACTGGGAATAATATAGCAAACTTTTAATGTTTTGGATGCTAAAAATAAATCATTCATATAAAGTAGGAATAATAGTGGTCCTAAAATTGATTTTTGGAGAACACCCTAAGTTATAATGTGTTTTTTTGTTTTATATTTCTTGTTAAAGACCTTAAAATTTGCCATAGCTCTATTGGTTGATTTGACATAGGATTCAAAACTTGTTTTATGGAATTTTATCGGCCAACTTTGCGCATACACTGAAAAAAAATTGTTAAACTATTCATCTGTTTCTTTATTATCTCTATTTAATAATACTGAACTTAATAATAGTAGTGCCCTTTCGAGCCTGTTTGACACGATATTCTTGACAGTCATTGCAATCGAGGTATTGGCGAGAAAAAGTCTTACCTTTGCTTTATAAGAAAACGTGAGCAAACGTGAAACTTATTTCGTACGTACCTAAACTTCATGTTATGTAATGTTTAAACATGCTTAAACATATATCAAGTTCAACAGTTTGATTTTCACTTAAGAACTGCATTTTGTCAACCTCTTCTTAATTTCTGATCTTTAGCATCTAAATCCGTTTAAAAATGTTTTATTTAGTTTCAAAACTTCGAGGATCAACGTGTTAGCATGGCCAAGTGGTTAGCGCGCTGGGATTCAGCCGGGAACGAGTCCTACCGTTGGTGACTTTTTTTTCAAACTTTTTTCAGATTTTTTTAAATACAAACTCAAAAACTTGTAAAGTTTTATAGATATTGTATACCCAGTGGGCACCGGACCTAAAAAAGACGTCTTTTGACCTTCAAAAGACATCCAAAACGTTCAAAAGACGTCCAAAACGTGTATAAGACGTTTAAAAGACGTCTTTTTTACGTCCATGCCCACTGGGTATAGACAACACATGTAAAGATATTAATCAAAGGTTTGATCCGCGCCTAGCACTTTGACACTTTGACTTTGCTAACGAAAGAAAAAAGTAGTTCACAAAATTGTCAAAATTTTGTTTTTGTTTGTGTAGTCCTTAAACACTTAGTTTCCATTTTTCTTGACATATTCCAAGTCTCTTCGAGAAAAAAACTTAGTTGATCAAAGAAACATAAACATAAATTCAGCTTTTTTGTAAATGATAAATATCGCCGAGTAAAAAGTGCCAACCGAGGCTTTTTAAACAAAATGCTAATCGAGTTTTACTTCCACGCAGTTTTAATCCACCACGAGGATTAGTTAAATGTTTTAAAAAAGATAAAATTTAAAGCTTAAAAAAATTTTTTTACAAATTTTTTCTTACATCTCTTTAATCCTTGACTTTTGGATTTAGATTTATTACATTGATTATCAATGTCATTGATTATCAATGATTAATAATTACATTGTCATATTATTTTTGTTAGGTTATTACATTGTTAGATATTTTTTTTAGATTTTATAAATAATGCTCAGGTAGCATTTGTTTTTTATTTTCTCTTTAGTTAATTTTTTTTGAAATTGTTTATTAACCTCTTTTTAAATTTTTAGAGGCTTTAGATAATGACTAATGTTTAGTAAGTCGCTTATATTTTATTTGTTCAGTAATTCGATTTTAGTCTTCTTTATTTCGTCTTTAATTCATTAAGTCGCCGGTTTTGTTTTTATTTATTTGTTGAGTTTTTTTTTTATTTGCTTTCCATATACTTTACTCTTTGCTTTTAGTTGAACCTCCATTTTTTTTTAAGTTATCTGTATTTTTTTTATTTTTAATACTAAACATTTTTTTATTTAGTTGTGCAACCACAACTTCGACCAGGTTGTGGTTGCACAAGATATTAAGAAGCACAGATATTAAAAAGCATAGAAAAATTCTTACCAGGTCCTGGTAAGAATTTTTCTAAGCTTTTTAATATCCCCTCGAACCTACAAAAAACCTATTTTACATTTGTTGTGCCATTGATACCAATTTTTTTTTATTTATATCTAATTTATATGTATTTATATCTTTTTTTAAAAAGTTCTTTTTTTAAATAATTTGCCTTTTTCTTTTTCTTTACTAATGTATTTTTTTAAATCTGTATTTGTATTTTTATTCGAACTGCAACAACAACCACAATCAGGTAAGATTTTTTTTCAATGTATTTAAAGTCTCTTTTAAAAAAAATTTTAAAAAGGATTTCTTTTAAAAAAAAGTAATATGTGTTTTTATTTTTAATACTGAACATTTTTTAATTTGTAGTGCAACAACAACCTGGTAAGAATAATTAATTTCATACGTTTTTAAATAATCTCTTTTATAAAAAAACCTATTTTTATTTGTTGTGCTGTTGATGTCAATTTGGTTTTTCTTTTAATTTTTTTTTTTTATCTGTTTTTATATTTTAACTAGAAACACAACAACAACCACAATCTGGTAAAAATAAAACCTTTTGTTTTAATGTATTTAAATCTTTTTTTAAAAAATATTTTGTGTTTTTCTGTTTCCTTACTAATGCATTTTTTTTAAATCTGTATTAATTTTTTTAGTAGAACCACAGCAACAACCAGAATCAGGTAAAAAAAAGTCAATTTTTGTTTGGTGTTCTGTTGATAACAGTTTGTTTTCTATTTATTCAAATTTCATTATTTTAAGATTTTTTTAGAAAATTTATAAGCAGTGAACTTTCAACAAATGTTTTGTAAGTTTTGATTTATCAATGTTTTTTAAAATTATTTGTTATTATGTTTATAATTTAATTAAATTATTTTTGATTGTGTCATTATCAATAGCTCATGTTATTTTAGTGCAATTTTAATAAATTCATTTTGCTTATATTTAATTTTAACTTTAGTTTAATTGTTATAAAAACCAACTTTATTTTTGGCTTTTAAATAAATATCATACGACCTTTTAACAACCAAATATTGTGTCAAAGTAAGTTTTATATTTTTAGCATTTTAGCATTTTTTTACCATAAACTTTAATTAACTTTATTACCTTTTTTTTTTGGAATTACATTTCATCAATGGTTGTTAATAAATATTGTAATAATAACGTAGCTATTATTACAATATTTATTAACATTATTAATATTAGGTTGTTTCTTTTAGACGGGCTATTTTGAATCAGTGAAATGATTTTTGCAACGAACCAGAAGTTGTGAAGTCTTTAATGTTAAATCAAATATACATTCACAAAAAAAATGTTGTTATTTATATTTGTTTATAAAAGCATTTTAAAAAATTTAAAAACTCATAGGTATAACTTTTGAAATTTTTGATAAGTCAAATGAAGATTTCTTTTTTCTCGATTATACAATTCTGGCTTAATAGTAATATAGCTTTAAAAAGCAACAACGAAACGATAGTTTTTATTTGGCCATTTCTTAACTCCCTCTACCCTTGATTTTTGCAAAATTTTATCACATTTATTGATCCGTATCAAAAACACTTTTTTGTTACGGAACAAGTAAAGAGTTTTTTTGCTTCGTAAATTTGATACAGTTTAAAGAATGGTTAAAATCTTCTTTTTACTGTTGTTTTTTTCGAAAGGAGTCCTGTAGGAATTTTAGTCGAAATCTAATATATAAAAAAAAAATTCCATTTTTTAAACAGAAAATCCATAATGGCGGAAAATGTGTTGATTTTGACCCTTAGAAATGATGTTTTTAAAACATGTTATCTTGATAAAACAAAACAAAAATCTTTGTATATTGTTCTTTTATACTCCGGATGACCCTTAGGATTTGCATAAATCATTTTACCCAAAGAGTAAATAAAGTATTTGTGAAAATGCTATTTTTTTCCACAAAGGTAGAAAGAAATCAGCACCTACACTGAGTTTTTTGTTAGATATTAAGAGTTTTATGTAAAATCCAAGGGTTATCTGGAATATAAGATCATGTTAAACATAAATTCGAAACTTCAAATCAAATACTCAAATTCTCGAGTTATTATGTTTTAAGTTGTAGCAAGTATGCAAAAAATTAAAAGCAGAGAAAAATGGAAAAAAAAAATGTTTGAAAAATAAGTTATCTTCTCAGTAAGAACCAGTTTGAACCAGTTTCTCAGTAAGAACCAGTTTGAACCAGTTTCTCAGTAAAAACCAGGGGAAGGAATATATTTAAGTTACAAGTATTTTTTTATAAAAAATTTCAGTTTTTAAATTCAAACTTTTTACAAAATACCATAACGCAATTTAGTTATAACGTGGCTTAAAGTCAAATAAACATTTTTAAAAATCTGTTTTAATTTAAATTTTATATTTAAGTGAAAAATAAAGCTCATTTTCGACAAATCCAGATTTACTAGGTCGACGAGTTTTAAAGCTGATTCTAGCTGAAAGTTTCTGTTTTTATCACTTATTGAAATAACAATTTTCTCAGTTATAATTAAAATATTTTTTAACTTAAAAGTAAAAGCCGATTTTTAATGGTTCTTTTGTAGGAGACTTAGTTGCATCTAGGACATTAAAAATTATCATTTAGAAAGATATTTTCATTCGATTGAGATTTTCTTTCGTTATAAGCCGGATAAGAGTTCTAATGAGCTGTAAGCTGTAAGGATAAAGTGCGCATCGATATCCTAAAGATCCGTATTTTACGGGTCATGACAGTTAGTAATATAATATTTTACAATCCATTAAAAGTTTTTTGTTTTTTTTTTACCAATTACTAATTAATCCACGTTTTTTGTGTATTTCCATGGTTTTTTTTTTCTTTGCACAATTAGGTTTTTTTGTAGAGTTTTTCTGCTTTTTTAAAAAAGGTTTTTATAATTTATGGAGTTTATTTTTGTTTTTATACGCTTTAATTTTTGTTTCAAATACTGTTTTGAAATTTTTTGTATTGATTTTTTATGATTTAAGAAAACTTTTGGTCATCCAAGCGTTTAAATCGTTTAGTGGTTATTAAAATAAGTTAGAACTTAAAATTTCTATATTTCAATAGAAATACTAAATCATAGTGTTTACAACAACAGCAACATCAAAACAACAACACCAACAACAACCACAACAACAACAACAACAAGCCATTTATTTTCCTTAAATTATTTTTACAAGAGTATTATTAATAATAAAAATAAAAATAATAATAATATATAATAATAATATAAGATAACAAAATTTATACAAATTATAGTAATAGTAATAATAAGTATGTTTACAATAATTACAATAATTACAATGAAAAAGTAATAATTATAATAACAATAAATATTACGATGGTAGCTAAAAGCATAAAACTAAGTTATATATATTTCATAAGTTAATGATTTATTAGGATCGTGTCACTCATAAAATAAACTTAACAATTAATGAACTTACAGAAAATTACTTAGTAGATAATTAGTATTTTTAATTGCCAGTTTTTCGTGAGACTAATTATTTTAAAATCATGGTTTAGCTCACGCAATAAAGATTTTTAATTATTAAAACTTCAAATGTTAAAATTAAGAATTGAAAAAGTTTTTTTTCTGACAAAAATATTGAGTAAATTTGCGGACTTTCACGACTCACTTTAGAAGATTTTTAGATTAAAATTTTTGTTCTCGCTCTTATTGATAACATTAAGATTAAGTAAATTTCTTTAAACTCGAAATATAAACTATGATAAATAAATAACAAATATATAATAAATTTAATCTGTTCAGCATTTTCATTAACAATTTTATTGAAAATGCTGAACAGATAAAATTTGATAGAAAATAAAGTTGAGGATATTAAAGTGAGCTTTAATTACAGTTAATGTTAGTAACATTCAATTTTATTCAGTTGCACGTATAAAATAGAGTTGCTCGTGTAAACTAAAAATAAAAATTGTTTTTGTCCTGTTGTTTTATATGTTTTTTGTCTCCTTCTTAAACTCCTTAAATATTATTTTCAAATTTTTATTTAATTGTTTAATCGTAACTGTCAAAAAAAAACTGTTTTTATATTTATCCAACTAATTTTAAATAGACTTTTTTACGCTACTAAAACCTGTCCATTAGCTTCAAAAATTTCAACAATATATATATATATATATATATATATATATATATATATATATATATATATATATATATATATATATATATATATATATATATATATATATATATATATATATATATATGTATATATATATACATGTATATATATACATATGTATATATTATATATGCTTTTGTTTTTTGTTTTTAAACGTAATACTTATATGTATATATAATTACATATATGTATTACGCTGAAAAACAAAAAACAAAAACAACATTTGGTTGTTAGAGTGTGTAAATTAGAAGAAATAATTTATGAAGCATCGTTATATTGAAATGTAAAATGGAAACCATCAAACTGTATACAAATTAAAATTAAAACTATATAGTCTAATTACTAAGAATAAAAAAGAATGCATTTAAATGATGATACATTTACATTTTTGTTTTAGTTTAGATGATAGCTAAATAAAAAACGTTTTTTCATTTAGCGTATTTATCAAAATGATTAAATTTAATAATTTGTAATCTAAAAAAGAAATAAAAGCATTTTAAAATATTTTTAAAAAAACCTTAGCGACGCTCTGTTATGACTAGGTATGTGTTGGCATATAACAAAATAACTTGGTAGCGCATAAAGCTCAGTTAAACACTGTTGTGTCATGTCTTGCTTTAAGACTCTAAAAAATCAGCCTATATCCCAGACTAAACTAAATAAGTCCTAAAACATCTTTGTTAACATATTTAGTTAAAAAACATTACTAAAGTTTACTATTTTCGCTTATTACTTATAAAAACTTTAATGATGCTACGGTATTTTTAATCAAAGAGTAAAGAACATAATTTACAAAAAAAAAAAAAAAAAAAAAAAAGCAGAGTGTTTTAATCAATTAAAAATAGTTCTTATTTTACAAGTTACTCCTCCCTCAAGAGAAATATTATTTCCAATTTTAATAGCGCCCAAAGGAAAACATTTATTGCTGCTCATAAAAATTTTGCAACGGAATGCGTAATTAAAATACCGATTTTTGTAGTATAAAACAGCCTTTGAGTTGCATAGTGTTTTTTAATGAAGATTGGAGCAAGTAATTTTAGATCTATCAGTAACATAAAGTCAACTACCAGTAACAAAAGTAAAGAGTACGATTATATGTTAAAACTATAGTGTTTTTGTTTTGTTTTGTTTTTTACTTTTTGAATATCATATATAAGACGAAGCACATATGATATTCAAAATATCAAATGTGATTCGTGAAAATACTTTTATAACTTTATTCAAAATCTTTATAATTTTTTTAGTCTTAAGATGTTAAAGACATTTGTTTTATTGCTTTGTGTTGGGATATCCTTGGCTGAATTTGAAACTGCTACTAAATGTGGTTTTAAAGTCAGAAAGCCAGAATTTTTACGCTATTGCATATCGCCAGGAAGCAGGTAAACATACGATTGGGCAAGTTTATTTACACTTCTTTAAAAAGAAACATTAACAGTAAAAAAAAAACTTTTAAGTTTAACATGCACCATTAATGTTTTTAAATATCTTTTGTAGAATGCACATAGGAGATTTCGATGGAGACAAACACGATGATGTAATGTGTATTGATTTAGTTACTGGTGACATGAGCATCATTTTTTCAAAGGTTTCAACTCTTCGTAAAAAAGTTTTTTATAACATGGAAGCTTGTATAGGTGCAAAATATGTTCTCCTTGGTGATTTTAACAGCGATCATCGCACTGATATTATCTGCCAATTACATAATGGTGAAAAATACATTTACCTGGCCACTTTAAATGGAGTTTTCTCAAGTAAATAAATTTTTTAATTATGATAATTTTTACTGTTTATGAGTTTTTATTGAACATCTTAAGTCATTGTGTAAGTTAAAAAACTTTTATTTTCAGCTTACACAATGTTAAATGCTGTCACGCATAGTACGCCAAATGTAAAAACATTCTGTACACAAAGTAATTACAGACCTGTGATAGGTGATTTTGATGGAGATAAATTTGACGACTATATGTGTCATGAAACTACTACTGGTCGAATGTCAATTATTTACGGTCAAAAAAATGTTGCAGATTCATTCAGAGAAGAATCTATGTTAAAAAATACTTTTATGTGCCGAGGAAAGATTTTGACAGGTAAGTTTTATTTATACATAATTTATACACAAACACATTTAAGCACACACACAAACACACACACACACACACGCGCACATATATATATATATATATATATATATATATATATATATATATATATATATATATATATATATATATATATATATATATATATATATATATATATATATACCTATATATATATATCTATACATATATATATATATATATATATATATATATATATATATATATATATATATATATATATATATATATATATATATATATATATATATATATATATATATCATTTTGAGGTTTGTTTAATGGAGACAAAATGTGTGATATTATGTGCCATGACAAAACATACGGAACTATTGTTATTGCTTCCGTTAACAACGATCATGTGAATATTATGTACAACTCAACTTGGAAATGCATTGAAAGAAGCTCTTCTGTCATGTAAAAATTTACTTTACCTTTTTTTATATTGCTATTCTCGCTTGTCTCTTTTTCTCATTAAAGATTTGAATTAAACTACTTTTTAATTTATAACTTTCGCAATTTGATTTTACAGGTTTGCTGACGTAGATGGAGACAGTTATGACGATTTGTTATGCAAACAAACTGGAAAAGTGTTACAGATTTTAAGAAATACCCGCAATAAAATGTTTTACAAACCAGTAGAAGCCGAGTTTTATCCTGAAGCCAACCCAAACAAAATGTATTATACTGTTGAGACAGGAGATTTTAATGGCGATGGCAAAGACGATTTATTAGGCCATGGTTTTGACGGATCACTTCAGGTTGCTGAAAGCACTTGTTTAAAGCTGTAATCTTTTATGAAGTTCAGTTCTTGATTAAAAATAAAAATATATAAATTTATAGTATTACTTCTATTTAATAATGTTTTAATACCATAACGACACCTCGCTTACTTCAGAAAGGAGAGGAAGTCAAACTTGGGACCCTATTATTAATGAAATTTCTAAGATAACCCTTTTTAGGTAATTAAAAACTCCAATAGTGACCATTATGTGAAAATCTAGAGGTTTTGATTGATGTAAGCATTGCGTAATCTTGAATGAGTTTTGCCCGCAGTTATTCAAATCAATTACATCAGATTTTCTTTTTAAACTTTTAATTCTAATTTTCTAAAATCCATTTACATTTGGTTCGTGGAAACCAGTTTACGGCGCTCTTTAAGGACTTAAACCTGTCTTTTGCGGATGTTGGTATGTGGTTTTACCTGAACGATTTGTTGAAAACTAATTACTTTACGTGCGTAAAACTGCAGTGCGCTAAAGGTAAAAATTAAATAAAAACATTTGATCAAAACATTTAGACATAAATGGGTGATATCTACTGTCAGTCAGCCGTTGAAGATTAAACGTCATACATAAAACATATATATATATATATATATATATATATATATATATATATATATATATATATATATATATATATATATATATATATATATATATATATAAAATCGACAAAGTTTCTTTATAACTATATTTACATTAAATATATTCCAAGTCTGAATATACTTTTTTTCTGCATTTAATTGCACTTAGTTATATAATTTAGCAGTGCTTTTATTCAGTTTTCTCCACAACGCTTATTTGTTTTTTATTTTATTACTCTTTTTTTGGATGGATAATAAAAGGAGCGTAGTCACAAGTAGAAGAAGAAGAATAAATTCAAAAAATCACTATTAAACCTAAAAATTCAACCTTAAAGAGAAATGTTCTTTTAGCAGAATCAAATATCAACAACAAAGCTTGTCTAGTTTTGTTTCTTGCCCAAATAAGAAAAAGAGAAAGAGTCTAATCCATCTACTAGTTTTTCAAAATTGAATAAATCGATAAGCAAACTTGTAGCATTGCTAGTTCTTTAAAATTGAATGAATTAATAAGCAAAACGAAAGATTCTAAAATCCGTCACCAGTTTTGTCTCCGCACTGATGATAGTCAGTGTAATTACTGGAAAAACATCATGCAGTACAAACGATCAATTAGTTTACCATTTGCAGTTAAAACTGCAATTTGTTTTATTTTCAAGGCTTTATGTTATGATCTTTTGTTAACAAAAATCACAGATTTCTAAAGATCTAGTTGAGCTTTCATCTTAAAGTTTTCAATACTTGTTTAACTTATACAGAAGCGCAATAAAGCAATATACTTAGAGACTTAATTAAAGCTACTTAGAGACTTAATTAAAGCTACTTAGAGACTTAATTAAGTCTCATTAATGAGATCATTAAGCCCCGAACTATTTATCAAAAACATAAAAATTAAAAGAATCTCCGCAATTTTGAAATAACTGATCGACATTTGTGAAAACTTTGCTTTAGGAAATAGTTAAGAGAATATTGACTTGCTGTAGCAAATTTCATACTGATACCAGTTGTAGATTTTCAAGTACTTATGTTTTGCTTTTTAGTTGATTTTTTTGCATTTTTGCTGACTAATCAAAAAATAATTACCTTTTTGAAATTTTTTTATTTATTATATTGATTTTTATCGCGGCTGTCATATGTATTTATTTCGGTATCAAACAATAAATATTAAAGATTTCTTTACCAACTTTCCACCTTGAACGCTCTAAAGTTTTTAATGTTTAGAAGATGTTTAAAAAGACGTTTAAAACAGGTTCAGAACGTAACTTATAAAAAAGAACGCCCAATAAGTTGAGAGAGGTGATACTTATAAATAAATTTGTTATTAAAAATTTAAAACGAATCTGTTACTAAAAAATGTTTACAATATGTAAATTGAAAATCTTAGTTTAAATCTTCGGTTCTTAAATCTCCTGCACACTTTTGATACACTATCGTTACACCCCTAATACAAAAAACCATACACTTTTATTTACGTACATTTTTATTTTTCTATTGTAAAAAATCTTTGAAATTGAAAAATTCTGGATCTTTCTGAGATTGAAACATAAAACTCTATAAACGTTTAGATCATATATGCTAAAAACTTTTGCGCTTTTAAATAATCTTATATACTTGTACGCATAAAATGGTTTTGAAAATTTATGCTATGCGCACGGCGTGATTTTGGCGACAATGAAAAAGAATAATTTTTACAAGTACTTCTTTAAGCAATATTCGAAAAGTAAATAAAACTATATATATTTATATCGTTCATTTATATGCTTTATCATAAACTACTCTTTTAAAAATTTGTAAAAATGTCGCAACGATGAAAGTAGGACGTTAGTAACTAAAATTCGTTCTATCCACAAATTGCTAGGTTTTCATAACAAACTTTTTATCATGTTACTGTTTATTTTGCCAGCTCCTGTTGATTTATATTTAGAAAGAAATTTAAATGCTTTTTCAAACTCATTAGAAGATAGATCAGTGGATAATTTTTATAAGTCATTTAAGCGTTTTAAAAAGTCATTAAATGGAATTGCGGTGATTAAAATATTATATGAAAAAGCGGATCAACGCATTTCACTTTTGCATTTTTGCTTGTAATGGTACAATATTTCGTCTATATTCATTTTTGGCAGAGAGTTATTAAAATAATGTCTTAAATTTACCAGTTATTTCATTTGAGACTGTTCATTAATTACGTCAACAAAGTTGAAGGGAATAGGGGCAAGGTGAGGGTTTAAAATGTTGTGACAATTATTGACGAACGTAATAGGAAGGGTCTCTGGAAGTTTGACAAGTTTTTGACTAGGGGATGGTAAAAATGGTCGACATATTTAATGGACAGCTCCTTATAATTTTCCAAGTATGCATTTAGAGTCTTTTTATTAAGAAAGTTTTTTTAAAATTGTTATAAGATTTGTTGTGATAATAATTTTGTTCACATTTTTTAAATAAATGCTTATTTTTTAAATATATCTTTTCATTTAAGTAAGATTTTATTTTTACATACAATTTATGAATTTATTAAAGGAATTTTTTAGTACTTTAGAAATCTAAGGACTTTATATTAGGTCTAATTATTAATAATTTTTTATTAACAATAAAAGTTTTATATTAGGTCTAATTACTTTTTTCACAAGCTAAAAAATGTGCATGATGGACAGAGTAAAATGCTTCATAAAGTCCATTAGTGTACGGGGTATAAAACGAGTCGCAATAACGAATAGTATCGAAAGAAAAAATTCATTCTCTGTTGCAATTTCTGAATTGGCTCACCAATATTAATTTATGTAGAAAAAAAATAATAAATTAGAAATAACAAATATTTTGTTTTGTTTATACTTGATACGTTACATTTTCAAAAAATATGAAAAAGATTATTATATTTTTTTATCTAATGCTGAACTGCAAAGTGATATTGTTATCATTACAAATTACACGGAGTGCAACCATTAGACGTTGCACTTTTAGGGAATACTTTAGGAAATGAAAATGCTCGTATCTTGTATATATCCAAGAATCAGTAACATAAAAATTGTAAGGTGTGCATTTAAGCAGAATCTACAATACTTTATATAGAAGGAGTTAAAAAACAAAAATATTTATTACTTTAATTGTTACGCAAATTTCTTTAATTTTATTTACAAAAATAAAATAAAAAATTAACAAATACAGGTTATAATTATTTTTATATTATTATTATAAGTTAATAATAATATAAATAATTACATCAATATTGATAACACAAATAATAAATAAATAAAAAATCGATAATAAATATAATAAGTAATAATAAATATCAGTGCGTGCATACATATACATGTTTTTTCGTAAATTTCGTCATTTCGTAATCAAAAATTTTTTGCATGGAATTTTCTTTCGAGTTCATGAGAGTAATTGATAACTTAACTAGGTCATTGAAATGTTCCTAAACATAAAAAAAATAGTTAAAATGATAATAATAACAATAATCATATTTGTATACTTTTTTTTATAATTTTGTGTTATTCATATGATTTATTTATGTCGCTCTAAGATATAAGTTATTCCTAGTATCCGTTCGGCAATATGTTGTGTATAATCTCTAGAGATCATGCACAATTTTCACTCATTTTTTTTACTATTTAATTTTCACCACTATTAGAGCTCTAATAGAGATAAAAATTAATGAAAAAAAAAAGTTGTTTAATAAGTAGTGGGTAAACTTTTTTTTCGTAGAAATAAAGGAAAATGTTAGGGTAAAATAATGTGAAGCAGAAATAAACATTTTAGAAAAACCTTTTTTTAGTATTTTGTTGAATTTTTTTTATTGTAACTATAAATAGCAACTACGATAATTTGTTTTAAAAATTTTCTTACCCTGTTATGTGTTTTGCATGTTGGCGAGCAGCCCCATAACAAGCTAAAATGGCGCTCGAAGCTGAGTATAATTAGTGCCCACCCCCTCTAAATGGGGGAGGAGTTACTGAAAATTGTATAATTTTATTTAAAAAGATTTAAATAAATATTTCTAGCATACTACAACTTTTTTTGATTTTAAGACGTTAATAATTAATGCAGGGGTGGCCACAATGAGGTCCACGATCTGCTTGCAGCCTTTAGCAACCATTTGTCCGGCAGTTAAATAAATTTTTGTTAATAATATAACCGACAATAATTAATTTACCAAGAAATGTAAAGTTTACAAGTTTTTTTATAATACTTACTATTTTTTATCTTAGTTTTTGTCTTTATAAATATATAAATATAGGGGAAAGATGCTTATGATGGCATAGCGCCTATGATGGCATACTGGTCATATTTTCATGAATATTGGTTATGGCGAAAAAATGATTTGACTACTGACTTTATATTAGTTTTAGTAAAAATACGTCCCTTATGCACAAATATTGCTTTTATAATCAAGAAAGATTGATTTTGGGATGTGCTGTTGTATTTTTAATCGCTTTAAATATTTAATATTGTGATTTTAATATTAACTGTGCAGAAATAATATTTTCATGCATTTTATTTCCAAGTCTTTTGACATTTGACACTTGCGTCGCACAAATGGGCTAATTAGGATGATTACGCGTAGTTTCTGGCATTTCTGAGGGAAGACTCTTAGATCAAATGAAATTGTCAAGTTATCCTTGGTGCTAACAAACCTCATCCTCCCTTATGTCATCATAGGAGCAGTAGTTGCCTATAATAACATACTTAAGCTTTTTTTTTAAATAAAAATAACTAATAAAAAAATAATGCTGATGAAAACTCTTAAGGTTATTATTGCTCTACATGTAACAAAGAATGTATCCATATCAAAAATTTTGTTCTTGGTCTTCAGGATTCTGAATAATGAAGCTTCAAAGTTAAGTATGCCATCATAGGCGCCTTTCCCCTATATAGAAATTTATAAAACAAATAATTTTTTACATCTTAATTATAATTATAACTTTTTATATCCCAATATTTGTTTTGCAAGTTACGACGCTTGTTATATCATATAATAAGTGTCGTAACTTGAAAAACAGATTTTGAGACTACAATTGAGATTTCGAGACTCCATTTCAGTGATTGCAATCGTTTATATGAAAACTGCGAACTTTATTCAACATAGCGTTAAATATATATATAAATATATATATATATATATATATATATATATATATATATATATATATATATATATATATATATATATATATATATATATATATATATATATATGTATATATATATATATATATATATATATATATATATATATATATATATATATATATATATATATATATATATATATATATATATATATATATATTATTTTAAAACATCAAGAAATACAGTTTCTCTCAATACTAATAATTTTATTTATAATTTTTTACATCTTAATTATAATTATAACTTTTTATATCCCAATATTTGTTTTGCAAGTTACGACGCTTTATCATATCATATAATGTGTCGTAACTTGAAAAACAGATTTTGAGACTGCAATTGAGATTTTGAGATACTTGCAAAATAAAATTATTAGTATTGAGAGAAACTGTATTTCTTGATGTTTTAAAATAATATAATATACTCTCATACAAGATGTCATCTTTCAAATATATATATATATATATATATACATATATATATATACATATATATATATATATATATATATATATATATATATATATATATATATATATATATATATATATATATATATATATATATATATATATATATATATATATATAAGATCATAAGGATAATTTCCCCTACAATACACAGTGCCGATGAATAAATCCAGCTAAACCAGAACTCGGAAAAGTAAAATTTTATTAGATGATACCAATAGTAAAGTTAGGAATGCTACCCATGTACACCAATGGCACAGCACAAATGACGTCATAAAATGGTTCCAATCCATACCCGAAAAAATAAATGTACTTTCATTCAGTACGATATTGACAAAATTTACCCCTTAATTTCGAAACAACTTCTTCAAGATTCTATAAACCATGCAAAACAGTTCACCAAAATTCCTGATAAATCACTCGAAATTATTTAAGACAACTTTAATCTTAACATCACTATCAAACCAAACTTAAAAACCGTAAATTTTCTTGATATCACATTCAACCTTTCTGAGAACTCTTTTAAACCTTTTAGAAAACCAGGAGATAATCCTTTATATATTAACATCAATTCCAATCATCCAACAAGCATTATTAAATCGATACCAAAGATGATCTCTAACCGCATCAGTAATATATCTTCAAGCAAAAAAGCTTTTGATAGAGCCGCACCATTTTACAATAACGCTCTCAATTCTTGTGGATTCAAAGATAAAGTCAATTTCATTCCAAACTTCCAGATATATAATACAAAATCTCGAAAAAGAAACATTATCTGGTTTAGCCCACCTTATTCACTCAATGTCAGAACAAACGTAGCCAAAACATTTTTGAGTACAATTGATAAATGTTTCCCTAAAGGCTACAAATTTCGCAAACTTTTTAATCAAAACAATTTAAAGGTTAGTTATATCTGCCATCTAAACATCAAGAGTATTATTACTTCTCATAGTAAAAAGATATTATTTAATTCTCATGAAAATGCCAATCAATTATGCAATTGTCGACAAACCACCTTATGCCCACTCAATGGAAAATGCCTTACAACAAATCATATTTATTTATGCAATGCAAAAACTCACCAAGACGAAAAAAGGATATTATTACGTTGGGCTTACTGAGAAAACTTTCAAAGACAGGTGGTATAAGCATAAATAACTCCTTTGTTTATGAAAGTAAGGCCAACTCCACTGAACTTTCGAAATTTGTGTGGGAATGCAAAAATAAAGGTGTAGAACCTATATTATTAAAATAGAATATTCTTGATCAAGTGGAACCATTCAAACCTGGTGGTAAATTTTGCAATTTGTGCTTGACAGAAAAATACTACATTATTACATCACCATTAAATTTGCTTAACAAACGAACCAAGCTTGCATCAAAACGCCGCCATGAAAATAAATTTCTAATAAAGAACTTTAATGTCATCAAAGTGGATACTCCATAGCATTTTTTGTATATAATTTTTGTCGTTACTTTTTTGTTGTTGTTACATCTGATGATTGCTATTGCGTGAAACTTTTAGTTATGTAATTGAAATATATCTTAATAATTATTTAGCTTTCACTATATATATATATATATATATATATATATATATATATATATATATATATATATATATATATATATATATATATACATGTATTGTCATGCAAGTGTGAACAAGCATATATTGTTGTTATACAAGACCTGCAAAACTCCACCATTGTTTTTGGTCATATTTTTTTTATTAATTAAAAAAAAAAGAAAAGTTTTTTTACAAGATCTTGTTTCATGTCAAATGAAACAAGGTTAAACGTTTAAAAGATCACAGCTTTAAACTTGTTCAGGTTGATTATAACCCACCAAAAAGACATAAGTTAAAAACGGAAGAGCAATTATACACTAATACTCGCCGTAAACTGTCAAAGAACTATAAATCAACTAACGGGATTACGGATTTAAAAAAAAATGAAAATAAAAGAAGATGTTAAAAAATGAAAAGAAAAGAAGATGTTTATTCAGAAAAAGCGGTGTCAAAACACTAATGGCACACGTCACAAAGAAAGTTCGACAGTAACAAAGTATAAAAATAAAAATATGTAAATTTTTGTAACAATTGGACCTTTCTTGAGGTGAGTTAAAGAAAAAAATTTAAAATGTAAAAGTTTAAAACAATAAAGGTAAATAAAAATAAAAAATTTTAATAAATAATAATAATAATATACTTATATATAAAACACTCCAGAAAAAGTGTGATTTCTACGAGCTTTATTATCTTCGCTTCCAGGGTTAAAAAAGTATTTTAAGTTTATTGGATTTTCGGCGTCACTTGCATCAAAATATTCTTTATTCAACAAAGAGTTAGGTACTTCAGCCTAAATACAAAAACAACAGTGTTAACGTTAGCGGCATATACATAAAAGTAATAGGTAACTATGACAATGCAAATATAAAAATTTTAACAATTATGACACTGCAATATAAAATTTAGATAACTGTAATTTAAATAGACACTTTTAAAAAAATTTTTAATTTGAACATTATTTAAAAAAAAAAAAAGAAGAATTAATGAAATAATTTTAATGATAAATAATTGGGAAAAGTTATTTGTTGGGAAAAGTTACTTGTTGGGAAAAGTTACTTGTTGGGAAAAGTTACTTGTTGGGAAAAGTTAATTGTTGGGAAAAGTTACTTGTTGGGAAAAGTTACTTGTTGGGAAAAGTTACTTGTTGGGAAAAGTTACTTGTTGGGAAAAGTTACTTGTTGGGAAAAGTTGCATATAGGAGAATGCAAATACTTACCGTTAAAAAAAAAAGTAGTATGAAAAATACTTACAGTTATTTTTTTTACTAACTAAACTTACAGTTTAGTAAAAGAAATAAGAGAAATACTTCTACTAAATTCTTTTACTAACTAAACTGTGTACAGTTAAATAAATTAATTTTTGTTTTTTGCAAAAGAAAATATTTTATTATTATTATCATCATATAAGTGTAGTTAATAATTTCATTAAGAAAAAAAATAAATTAAAAAATCAAATTTTAATAAATCTTTGGTTTAATTATAATTTCAGTAGCTGCTAAATTACAATAATTAAATATCGAATTAAACAATCTTGCTGGGGGAATATCATCTTCTTCTGAAAAGTGATCGGAAGGAATGTTGTATTGAACTTTATCACTTGACGAAAAAAGATGTTTAAATGAATTTTTTATAACTAGCACGGGAATTTCATATCATGTCTGCATCACTAAATAAATAACATCTTTCAAATTTATATTTTTCAGTGCTGAAACTATTCCATCTTCTGCATCTAAGGCTGCAAGACATGCAAGTAGATGTTTGCAATATCGTTGTTTTAGTGATTTTATCACATTTTGATCTAGTGGTTGCAATCATGGTGTGTTATTATTATGTGTTATAAAAATATAACCTTAAAATTCGTGTTATCAGTAAAATTATTCTCAGACCCATGGCAAGTTGTACTATCTACTGTAAGAAGGGCTTTTACGAGAAGATTTTTAGTTTCCAAGTGTCGAGTTACTAAAGGTATGAATATATTGTTATACCAGTCGTTAAAAAGTGCATAAGTTTGCTAAGCATTTTTAGATGATTTGTAATATACTGGCAAAATCATATTTTTGAAGCAACAAAGAGATTTTGATTTCCCTCTTATCATCAAATTTAATTTATGTATACCTGCAGCGTTTATGCATTTATGTATACCTGCAGCGTTTATGCATTTATGTATACCTGCAGCGTTTATGCATTTATGTATACCTGTAGTGTTTATGCATGGCATAACAGAATTTATGTATACCTGCAGCGTTTATGCATGGCATAACAGAATTTATGTATACCTGCAGCGTTTATGCATGGCATAACAGAATTTATGTATACCTGCAGCGTTTATGCATGGCATAACAGAATTTATGTATACCTGCAGCGTTTATGCATGGCATAACAGAATTTATGTATACCTGCAGCGTTTATGCATGGCATAACAGAATTTATGTATACCTGCAGCACTTATGCATGGCATAACAGAATTTATGTATACCTGCAGCGTTTATGCATGGCATAACAGAATTTATGTATACCTGCAGCGTTTATGCATGGCATAACAGAACTTATGTATACCTGCAGCGTTTATGCATGGCATAACAGAATTTATGTATACCCGCAGCGTTTATGCATGGCATAACAGAATTTATGTATACCTGCAGCGTTTATGCATGGCATAACAGAATTTATGTATACCTGCAGCGTTTATGCATGGCATAACAGAATTTATGTACACCTGCAGCGTTTATGCATGGCATAACAGAATTTATGTATACCTGTAGCGTTTATGCATGGCATAACAGAATTTATGTACACCTGCAGCGTTTATGCATGGCATAACAGAATTTATGTATACCTGCAGCGTTTATGCATGGCATAACAGAATTTATGTATACCTGCAGCGTTTATGCATGGCATAACAGAATTTATGTATACCTGCAGCGTTTATGCATGGCATAACAGAATTTATGTATACCTGCAGCGTTTATGCATGGCATAACAGAACTTATGTATACCTGCAGCGTTTATGCATGCAATAACAGAATTTTTTATAATTTGAGATTATGTTTTTGTGAACAGCTGGTTTTACTTCTGAATTAACCCAAACTTAACTCAAATATTTAGCTTAAAAAAAATAAGTTGTTTATACATAACAGTTGAACTAAAAAAAGTTGCTTGCATAGAGGTTGCTTATAAAGAATGCTGCTTATAGAAAGAGCATTCACTGTATTAATTTCAGAAGTTCTAAAATGGTAAAAAATTATTAAATATTTAAAAAAAAAAACTGTTATATAATAAGTCAAATTGAAAAAAAATTAAACTGGCATCATTTTGCTTTAAGTATAAGTATTTGAAAAGCTGTGCTAAAATAGCATCAAAACGAATTTACATTTTTGTTAATAGCAAAAATACAAATTGAAATCATTTTAATAATGATATTAATAGTGCACAAACTTAAAGTAATACATTAAGAATATTGTATTTTAATACCATATCAAGATATAAAAAAGAATTGAATTTAAGAACAGAAATTAAGAAAAAACATTTTCTATACTTTCTTTAACTTTTTGTTTCATGTTATACCAAATGCATCACTATTAGTGTAATGTAAATATATTGCCATTTATATAATGGTAAATATATTTATGTTATTAAAAATATGGATGTTTGCAAAAATATAATAATAAATCATTAATTGATAAAATTCATTATTTAATGATTTATATTAATTAATACTTAATATCATAATAAATCATTAATATTTATTAATGATGTATTATTGATATAATAATAAATTTAACAATTAACAAATAAAAACCATTTATTAATGTTATATTGCTGTATATATTAATATTTTTCATTTATTATTAGTATAAGAAGTTAAAAAAAATGTCTTAGCTTGTTTCTGTGTATAAAATTCATGACTAACAAATAATGTTTAAATTTATTTAAAATATAACCTACAGCCTTTTGTTTACGTCGCCGATAATTCATCACTAACAGCTTTAAACAGTATATTTTTCCAACAGTTAAAGATTCGTTTTCTATGTTTAAAAAAATATATCAACGTTACACAAAGTAAATAAATAAATAAAACACCTAATTAAAATACAACAAGGTTTAATAATAACACAGGTCAACAACAACAAATTTTTTTTTTGTTGTTGCTGAACAAACAAAAAGTTTTTTTCGTAGAGCATTTCTCAAATTGAATTCAAATATGCAACTCATTTTTCACCATCACATCAAGTTGTAAAAATATTTAGGTTCAAATCTTAAACATTTGCAATAAAATCCCAAAAATTATCCAAAAAAAAAAATTACTCAAAAGTATGTCAACCTGGGTCTCAAAAGAAGCTTATTTTCACAGCGTAATTCAAAGATTTTAAAAAACAAAAATACTTTTACTCAAAATTTACTAACAAAAAAAAAAAAAAAAGTTAAATGATTTTTAACATGTTTTTAAGCAATAATATAAAAAGTATTTTTGTTACAAAAAACATACATTTTAAAATTTTAAAATTTTTATAAAAATATGCTTTTTTAGGCAGGTTGACATAATTTTAAATATTTTTTTGTTTTTAACAATATTATGGATTTTATACCAAATGTTAAAGTTTTTAACCCAAATATCTTCAGAACTTGATGTGATGGTAAAAAATGAGTTGCATATTTGAAATCAAAATGAGAAATGCTATACAAAAAACATATTTTTTGCTTGGCACTAAAAAAAATTTTTTTGTTGGCCTTTTAATATATAAATAGTAATAGTTAAACATTCATATTAAATCAGGTTTGGTTGGGAAGCGGGAGCGATCGCTCTCGATTGTTGACCAAGGAAATAACATTTGATATATGAAAAGCTGGCCAGATTTTTTAGTCGTTTTGAGAACATTTCAAAAAGCAAAAAAAAAAGCGCTAAAGATTAATTGGACCGATGAGAGACAATAACAAAAAAAAAAAAAAATTAGGAAAATAAAATGTCTTTTAACGTGAAGCAAAACAAATTACGTTTAGAACAAATATTTTCGAAACATCACTCTTTTATAATTATTTTATAAAATTAAGCGACGTTTTTTATATAAAGTAACATCTTGCAATTGTTTAAAAAGGAAACAAATGTTCTTTATTTAACAAAGAGTTTAATATAAGTTTTACTTGTATACTGTTTCCAGTGCTAGATTAAGAAGGGTTGGGTTTAGAGGCCCAAAAAGAGTCAAGAAGACTTTCTTGCTTTGTCATTTTTAAGCTGTTGCACATACAAAGGCATCCAAAATAAAAATAGCCCCCGGCCCCAAAAAGTCTAACAAGATTCTAATAGAACTAACGCAAGTTTTAGTTTCATCAAAGATAAATTTTTTTATAAATAAAAAAGTTTTTAATACCAATTTTATGCTTTGCCTAGTTTGAAAAGTTTAACATATTTGAAACAATTCTTCTTAGTAGGATGAACAAATGGGCGGAGGTGTATTTAATTCACGGGTAATTAAAACTATAATTTATTTTAGCCGTGTTTTAATTAAAATTCACTAAGATATACCACTCTTCCCAGACCTCGTGAATCAAATACAAACAGGTTCAGGATGGTAATGATAACTCTGCTACTGGTATCAAATAACCCAGTACCACCTGTCCCATGCCCTGCTATCTTACAGGGTTTGCATTTCCAGGCAAAAGCTGGGAGAGATAAATTCTGACTTATAAACTTTCTATATTATGGCTCTTGGCTAAGTAAAGGGTAGAGATGGTGTCTTGATAAAAATACTCATCTTGGATAGATAGTTAACGGCATCCAGCTGCTGTCTTGCAGAAGGTCTCCTAGGCAAAGACTTTAGGTGTAAGCAGAATAATTCTATTGGCCAATCTTGCACTTCTTCCTGTTGATTACATTTTCAAAGTCTCCTGGTTTTGCTGATTTTTAATCAAAAATAGTAGGAAATGTAATGATAGAGCATGGAATTTTTTCATGATAATGAAAAGATTCAGAGATAAGATGATAATTTAGATTCATGATAATCAAATATGTTCAGAGTGTTAATCATCTTGATATAATAGCATTTTTAAGTTGGCCTGCGCAATTAAAAGAATTCAATTTTTTCTGTTATTTAAATTAAAATAAAAACAGCAAAAAAAAATGCTTTAAATAGATACGAGATAAAATAGTTTTAAAAATAAACTGGTAAAAATTTTTCATAAAAGTTGAAAAAATGAACAAAAAAGTTTTGTTGCTATTTAAAACAAACCGCTTTTATTTTTTTTTGAAAGTGCTTTTTATGCGCTCAGTAAATTTTTGGGGGCATGTGGGTGAGCATAAAAAGAATTAAGCGCAAAAGCGCTTATATATATATATATATATATATATATATATATATATATATATATATATATATATATATATATATATATATATATATATATATATATGTATATATATATGTATATATATATATATATATGTATATATATATATATATATATATATATATATATATATATATATATATATATATATATAAATATATATATATTGTCGCAAGTTTTTTTGTACCAAATAGAGATACAAAGCCTCTTGTACGTTTTTTTAGAGTGATCAATTTAATGTAAATTAATTATTTACATTAAATTGATCAATTAATTATTTACATATATATATATATATATATATATATATATATATATATATATATATATATATATATATATATATATTATATTTATATATCTATATATATACATACATACATACATATATATATATATATATATATATATATATATATATATATATATATATATATATATATATATATATATATATATATATATATATATATATATATATATGTATGTATGTATGTATGTATGTATGTATGTATGTATGTATGTATGTATGTATGTATGTATGTATGTATGTATGTATGTATGTATGTATGTATGTATGTATGTATGTATGTATATATATATATATACAGATGTTTATATTTGTTTATAAACAGATTTTTACAGTTGGTTGTTAATTTTATTTTCTTTGTTTTGATCCCAACTACACTATGTGAACTCACTCCAGCAAGTTTTCTATATATAACTATTTTATTACTGTTCTATTTTTTTTATTTTTTATTACTGGTGCAAATATAAAATATATAGTCTAGAATACTTTGAAACATTGGAAAATACTTTTAATTATTTTGGATAAAATCTTGTTTTCGATGTAAAGTTTCAAGTCTTACAGAGAGAAAGAAAAGTGCAAGGCATTTAATCACTATAAAACCAAAGTAAAATGTCTATAGATATTCCGGCAACAGTGTCAAGTCAAATGGGTGCATTTGGATGAAGAATTAACCCTCCTTTTCTAAACAGAAAGGAGACCCAAAGATTCATTCTGTTGAAAAACTAACAAATCTGATTGCCAAAAAAGTCACTTTTTTGGAAACTTCACTTTTCTGTTCATTAGCGAGAAACTGCAACTGGTTAGAATTAAAATTTTGATTATGGATATAGAATTTCTCTTAAGGAAAATTCTAGATATTTTACTATTATCCTGTGCACTCATCAGTAAGAATCTCAATAGCCTAATTGAACTACATAATAGAAAAAAAAAAACTATCTGATAAATTTCCAACTAAGGTGGGGTAGCATTACAGAAAACAGATTCAGTTGGTGATGCTACAGATAATCTCAATTCAAGAGTGCAAGGGAGTTTTTTGATAATACTAGGCGGGTGGTTTGAATAAGAATGAACATAATTCAGCTAATTGTTGCATTTATTGTAAGGTTGAAAAGAATTGTTATTAAGATAAAATGTTACGCCGAGATAGTTAACAATATTCATATTGCATTAGATGGAAATAAGAATATCATTACCTTAAAAAACATTTACAAAATATATTTTGATTTTCTACCATTTTTGTTTTTAAATATCACTAGCCTGTCATCATAATAAGTCCAAAATCATCTATTATAATAATGTGAAAGTTTAAATAATAGAAAACTTCAGCACCATACTTCAGCACCATTGTAAGCGCCCATTGTCAAATCAAAGTAATAAAAAGTAAAGATTTCTTTTGTGTCATTAATATTTTGTAGTCAGTATTTATTATTAGATGTTGTTTGGCAAAGTTGATTGCATTGTTAAGCATTTTTTTCACTTATTGAAGTATAAAAATTATTAATCTTAAAAACTAAAATTTTGTAAAGATGTTAAAATTTAAGACAGTCAGTACTTTGCCACTGATTAACAAATAACTTACGTGGGAATTCATTGTTAGTTTAAAAAAAAATTTTGCTTATTCTTCCTATTTCAATTTTCATCTCATTTTTTGCTGGATTTAAAAGTTGTACTGTTATTGTTACTGCTATAAGTTGTACTGTTATAACATTAGTTGGTATAATTGTTAGCAAAATTTTCTTTTAAAATAAAAAAACATCCAGAAGATTCGTTTATTTTGATTTTGTTATAAACATCATGGTTTTGTAAAACATCTTTCCCTACTTTATTTTTTTTCACTTTTATTTTTGAATCAGCTTTTTTGTAGGTGGCAGTAATAGCATTTTTTTAAAAGGTAAATTATTCTTTGGATAACTTATACATATTTGATGTTTTTTAGGCTTTTATATAAGTTTTGTTCAACATTTGTATTAATCTAACATCATTTTTTATATTATCTTTATGTATTTTGGACTTTTCTAAACAGTATTGTTTTAACTAGATATAATACATATTTTTCGAAAGAAGACATTTCTTTTAATTGAGTTGAATTCATTTGGTTGAATTCATTTGAGTGGAATTCATTTGGTTGAATTAATTCAGTATTTAAATAGTTATGATCATCTTTATAAATTGTTGTTGATAAAATAAAATGTCCGAATTATATTTTTCAAAAACGATTTGGTTTTCTCAAGTAATTTTGATTTTTAGTCTTTTTCCCATGGTATGAGAATGTTTTCATGGTATGAGAATGTTTCCATGGTATGAGAATGTTTCCATGGTATGAGAATGTTTCCATGGTATGAGAATGTTTCCATGGTATGAGAATGTTTCCATGGTATGAGAATGTTTCCATGGTATGAGAATGTTTTTAATTGAGTATCTCAAATTTATTTTTTCCATTTTATTAGATAATTTTATTTGAGTAGAGTGCTCAATTGGTTGGAGCAAATATATTAATTGATTGTATATGTATTATAATAAATTAAAATAATATAAAAACTCTTGAATGTAAAATAGTGCTCAATATTACTATTATAGAGTAATAAATATTTAAATTTTGTTTAAATAAAAAATAACATTAATAGTAGTATTTATAGTTTCATACCATACACTGCAATTATCAGCTATTAAATACATAAAAAAAAACTCTTTAAAATGAATTAAAAACTACAGTAGAACAACTTCTGACATAGTAGCTTTGAAAAACTTTTGACAAAGAAGCTTTAAAAAAGTCTGGCTATAATTGTAAACTGAAATTCCAACCTAAAGTTGCTAAAACTAACCTAATTTAATTAAACCTAACTTGACTAAAAACAAAAATCGAAAGCGAAAAGCTTTATATAGTATAACCATTCATTTAGTGGTGTTCAGAATGTGGAAACAAAAATAGGCAGTTGCTTACTAGCATTAAATGATCTGCACTTTCCAGTAAACCACAAATTTTACAAAATGTTCAACAGAAATTGAATCAAAGTTAGTTATAGCTGTATGCAAAAGGTAAAATCTATAATTAGTTCACATAACCACAAGATTTTGCACAATGATACAAATTTGAATGCTAGAACTTCAACTGCATTACAAAGACTGCTTGCTTATTGAATAATCAATATTTATTAAGTAATATTGTTTATCAAGCTACTGTGACTGATGAAAATTCTAATCTTAAAGAAAAAAAAAAAGTATATTTTGTGATTTGTGAGACACCATTCAAGCTTAGATAAGCAAATCATTTAAAATCTTTTAATGCCGAAAAATACAGAAATTATACAGAGCTTTCTTAGGAGATTTAGAATTTAAAAGAAAAAAACAAAAAACACACGATAAAGTGGCAAATTATAAAACGCTGCCTTCATGAGAAATTTATAATTTTATATCACAAAAAAAATAACCTAAAAATAAAAACAATGTAATTTTATATGTGTCAACATTCCAACAAATTTCTACTGCCCTTTTTTAATACCTGTGATGTTTTTAATTCATTTTTAAAAAAGTTTTTTTTTTAAATGGTTTTTCTAACGGCTTGTATGGCACAAAACTGCAAGTACTATTTTTAATGTTGTTTTTCATTGAAACAAAATTTAAATATTTATTGCTCTATTATTGTAATACTGAGCACTGCTTCAAGAGGTTTTGTATTATTTTTATATAAAATACTACTTAAACAATCAATATATATATATATATATATATATATATATATATATATATATATATATATATATATATATATTATTTTTATTAATATTCAAAAAGACCATACCATAATATATTATTATATGAATATACTATATTATTTTTATAATTATTCAAAAAGACCATACCATAATATATTATTATATGAATATACTATATTATTTTTATTAATATTCAAAAAGACCATACCATAATATATTATATTAATATTTAAAAAGACCATACCATACCTTTTAGCTTTGGAAAAAATTTATTCAGAGATTTTTCAGCCATGTTGGGCCATAATGACTTGATAATTCTCTTGAGCTCAATATCGTTTTCAAATCTACTACCTTTGGTACAAAAGTTTAAGTTAACTCGAGCAAGTGCTAGAAGTGTTGTGTAAAAGGATACGCTTCCATCTGTGTCTACAGGGATGTCCATACGAATTAACCGCTATTAAACAATATATATATATATATATATATATATATATATATATATATATATATATATATATATATATATATATATATAAAGTTTCTTCCATAAACTGTAGTTTTAAAGGGAGCACTAATAAAACAGACCAGAAAAAAATTAAAAACTTAAACAAATTTTTTTTTCTTGAATCATAGATTCCTTGCCCAAACCAAACCCTCAGTCAATGTAGCAGTACTTCCTTGTAGCAGCAGGCTATAATATAGTCGATGCAGCAGCACTCCTATCGACTATAGGCTATAAGATAGTTGCACATAGATAAGATAGTAGCACTCCCTAAAGACTATAGGCTATAAGGTAGTCAAGCACTTATTTGTAGCAGCAGGCTTTAAGATAGTCGATGTAGCAGCTCTTTTTTGTAGCAGCAGACTATAAGATAGTCGTTGTAGCGACACTCCCTAGTAGCAGTAGGCTATAAGATAGTTGATGTAGCAACACTGCGCACATGTTTTAAAAACAAAAACACTTTTTTAATTTATAAACAAAACACTTTTTTAATTTAAAAACTTTTCTAATCGTTGTTATTGAGTTTTTTATAAATCAATAAAACTTAATGTACTTCCTCATTACTTTAATTGCTTTGACTTTTAGACAACATAAAAATGTAGCTTATTTGTTAAATATATTTATATATGTATATATATATATATATATATATATATATATATATATATATATATATATATATATATATATATATATATATATATATATATATATATATATATATATATATATATATATATATATATATATATATATATATATATATACATATATATATCCGACACAAAGGAAAAACTTTATTAAATTAAAGCCCATTCAACAAAATAACATAAACAAACACTATTCTAATGTAATTTTACATAGGAAATACAAATATTATATAAAAAAAACAATACTATTAAAATTTGACTTGATAATTGCGATGTTGTAAAACTTAAGGTTCAAAAAGTATCCAACAATTTGTAAAAAAATTCACTCAATACTTCGTCATGTGACCTTTAGCAGCCAAAACTTCTTCTTAACGGTTGGAATAGTTGTTCACATTATTATTACATATGCTAATAGGAATTTTAGCCCGCTTTTTCTTGCATATTTCTTTCAATTGGATAAGATTTCTTGGATCTCTCTTCTGTACCCTCAGTTTTAATTATCGCCACAGATTTTCAATTGGATTTAGGTCAGATGATTGACAGCCATTCCAATAAGTCAATTTCCCTCTCCTGAAACCATGCACGAGTTGCCCTAGCTATGTGCTTAGGGTCATTGTCTTATGCAACCTCAAAGAAGGTTCAAATTTTTGGCTGACATTACAAGATATCTCTCAAGAATGCCCTGATATATTTCGGAGTTTATCCTTGCTTATATTATTTCCAATTCCCTAGGGCCTGCATTAGAGAAACAACCATAAAGCATTATGCTGCCACCCCCAAACTTCACTGTTGGGACAGTATTCTTTGGGTTAAAGCAGAGTTCTTCTGTCTCCAAACACAACTGACACAGTTCCAACCAAGCAACTCTAATTTAGTCTCATCTGACCATAATATTTTATCCCAAAAGCTTGAGGGTTTACTCAAGTGTTAGCAAAGTTCAGGCAGTTTTTTACGTGAATTTTCTTCAAGAGGGGGGTTTTCTTGGTGACTGAGATTGTAATCCTCTCTTTCGAAGAACTGCCCTCATTGTATTCTTGCATACATTTCTCCCAGATAATTGCAAGCCTTTTTGAAGTTCAAAGCAAATCAGTCGAGGATTTTTCTGCACTTTTTGAACTAAATTCCTACCAATACGGTCAAAAATTTTCATAGGACGCCCTGAATGACTAGTAAGATGGAAGGATTTCCACCTCGAAACCGTATCACTCACTGTCGAAATTGGGATATTTAACACAGATGAATTTTTTTATATACTGAAACATCTTTGTGCTGAATAATTGATTTTCTAGTTGTTTCAGACAATTCTGCAGTTTTAAGCATTGTTGAAGAGCACAAATTTTAAGCCACCTTCTAATCACAATGTTTGATAGTGAATAACTGCAGTTAGAAAGATTTCTATGGGGTAATTTTGCATTCTAGAATGTTCCTTCGTTTTCTGATTCTAGAATATTCCCTCGCACATAACAGATGACAAATTATTGGCTAACTAAATTCTTTATTTATGTGTTAGATACTTTTTGAACACTAAATTTTGCAATATTTCAATTATAAATATTATCGTATCGTAAAACATTATCGTATCAATAATGTTTTTTTGATACGATATTTGTATTTCCTGTGTAAATTACATAAGAATTGTGTTTGTTTATGTTATTTTGTTGAATGGGCTTTAATTAAATAAAGTTTTTCCTTTGTGTCGGAGACTTTTTGCACCCACAGTTAAGTGTTTTTGTGATTCTGACTCATTTTTTTACACTAGTTAGTAATTTTAACTAAAAATATTTGAACTTTAGTGCCTAAAAATGGAAAAAGCTAAAGATATATCAAACAAAAAAATTTCAGAAATATTTGCTTTGTTAAAACATTCTAATCACTCTGAAAGAAAAAGTGCAAATTTAGTTAAAGTTTCTGTGATGACAGTGGCAGAATTAAAGGTAAACTTGATAAAAAAATATCTGTGCAACATGCCAGAAGTGGAAAATGTAGTAGACCGCGCATCACTACTCCAAGAGATGAATGAGCAATTCATAACATTTGTGTTAAAAACCGAATAAAAAGCACAAAAGCAGTTACTAAAATCATACATGAAGCCGGTATTAAGATTTCTAACAGAACTACAAGGCGTCGAATAGCAGAACTGGGTTTAAATGCTACAGACCTGCGAGGAAACCTAAACTTGCGCCAGCTATGAAATTAAAACGTCTCACTTAGACAAAACAACACCTACATATGTCTGCTGAAGATTGGAAAATGTAAATAAATACTTATTCAGTTGTTTATTGCAACAGCATCACTGATTAAAACATTTATAAGAGTATTTATATTATTATTTTTATTTGTTTTTGGGTGTGTTTCTCAGATGAGCCCCAATTTGAAATATTTATGGATAAGTCTTTTTTTGTTAGACGAAGAAAAGAAGAAAAATATAACCCAGACTGTGTTATGGAGACGATAAAACACCCTCTAAAAGTAATGGTGTGGTCAGTTATAAGTGGTAAGAGTAGTAGCCTTCTTTAAATTATTGAAGGGATGATGAACTCAGATAAATATAAAAAAGTATTAGCTACCAAATTAATTCCTCAGTTACATGATTGGTTTTCTGATCCATCTAAATTCATCTTTATGCATGATTCTGGCTTATGCCATAAAGCTAAATCAGTGACAAGATATTCAAAGTCAAAATATGTTACTGTTTTACCATGGCCTGGCAATTATCCCGACTTAAACCCAAGTGGAAAATTGGGCATGAAACTATAACCAATAAAATAAATCTCATAAAAGCACTAAATAATGCCTGGTATTATGATCAGGAATAAAAATCAAATGTAAAGAATTACATCCAAAGTATGCCAAGAAGAATGCAAGCAGTAATTGATGCAAAACACGACCCAACCAAATATTAAAAAACGTTTGGTATTATGATTTTTCTTAAATAAATGCATAAAAATAGTAATAGTGTTTAAATAAGTGTTATAATCATCTGTTTAAAGAAAAATATTTATTTAAGCTAGTAGCACTAATATTTATATGAAAGTTTAACATAAGAATAAGTAAGATTACGTAACAGCTTATAATGGTTAATTTTATAATTTTTGAAAATGTAACTATTAATATGGCCACCCACTGTGTGTGTATATATATATATATATATATATATATATATATATATATATATATATATATATATATATATATATATATATATATATATATATATATATATATATATATATATATATATATATATATATATATATATATATATATATATATATATATATATATATATATATATATATATATATATATATATATATATATATATATATATATATATATATATATATATATATATATATATATACATATATATATATATAATATATATATATATATATATATATATATATATAAAATATATATATATATATATATATATATATATATATATATATATATATATATATATATATATATATATATATATATATATATATATATATATATATATATATATATATATATATATATATATATATATATATACACTCTTGCTTGGTTGTCTCAAAGTTTTTACCATAAAATGTCAGCTTAAAGTTTTTTTTTATTTTAAAGACCGGAAATTTTTTTTTTTTAAATTATTTGATAGAATGCCTGCCCAAACCAAACCCTCAGTTGATGTAGCAGCACTCCGTTGCATAATATGCATAATTTACATTTGTTGATGTTTAAGTTGATTAACCAGTCTTTATACCACTTTAAAACATTAATATCAACTTGTAATAATAAACATTGTGTCAAATTGTTTACTTCAGCTATTATTTTTGAATCATCAGCATAAAATTTTGAATTATTCAAGATAATTTCATTCAAATCATTAATAAAAATGATAAAGAAAATTGGCCGAACACGGAACCATGTGGGACACTGCTCAAGACCACCACCCAGCTTGATATAAAATCACCCATAAGAACTGGTTGTTTTTGTGAATATAAAAAATCTGCAACCCACTTCAATAATTTGCCTTTTATACCATAAGCTGATAATTTTAACAATAATCTCTGATGTGGTACTAAATCGAAGGCCTTAGCGAAATCCAAAAAAATGATATTCACAGACGAATTTTGGGATAAATAGTATGTTATCAAGTCCATAGATTCTACTAAATTGGTGACACATGATTTATGTTTTAAAAAACCATGTTGATTCTGATTCAATAACTTTTCACCATCTAAAAAGTTAAGTATGCAGTCTTTTATAATGGATTCCATGACCTTACATACAATAGAGGTTAAAGGCACA